TTCTGGCACAAAAACAGGCACACAGACCAAAACAGAATAAAGAAGCCAGCAATAAATCCAACAACATCTAACCAATTGATTTTTGACAGAGGTTCCAAGAACAATCCAGTGGAGAAAAGATAAGTCTTTTCAATAAATGGTGCTGGGAAAACTGGATATTCACATGTAGAAGAATGAAACTAGATCCCTGTCTTTCACCATTTATAAAAATTAACTCAAATGTATTAAAGACTTAAATGTAAAGCCCAAACTATAAAACTATTTGAGGAAAGCAGAGGGGAAATACTTCAATATATTGGAGTAAGCAAATATTTTTTAAATAAGACTCCAAAAGCATGAGCAACCATGCCAAAAATAAGCAAATGGGATTATATCAAGTGAAAAAACTTCTGTATAGCAAACGAAACAAGAAATAGAGGAGATAACCCACCAAATTGAAAAATTTTTTACAAATTATACCTCAAAGTATTAGTAACCAGAATATATAAGGAGCTCAAACCACAACCACATATACACACACAAAAAAACTCCCTAATAATCCAATTTAAAATGAGTAATCAGGGGCCAGCAGGTGGCATGGGGGTTAAGGCACTAGATCCTCCACATGGTCAACTGTGCTTCAAGTTCCAGACTCTGTGAATTGAAAATCACACCAGGCACATGTGCATGCATGCCAAAAATCCCAGGAAGAGAATGGAAGAGAAGGGATTGTGGCATGGCCATCCCCTCTGGGGTGATTTCTCACTTTCCCCCTCTCTCTCTGTCTCTCTCCAGTGAGCATATAAACCTTGTGGTGAAGAAACAAAAAAGGGTAATCAATATGAACAGACAAATCTCAGAGGAAGATATACACATGGTTAAAAAGTATGTGAAAAAATAATACTCAATATATTAGATTGTCAGAAAAGTCATGATGCATTTTTGCATAGAAAAACAGAAAAAAGTTATGACTTTTCTGACAATCTAATATTTTATCATAAGGGAAATGCAAATCAAAATCATAATTAAATGCCAACAAATCCCAGCCAGAATGATTATTACAAAAAAAATTAGTCTGAATAAAAAGTCCTAGAAAGGTTGCAGAGAAAGGAAATCCTTATATTTTTATTATTTTTATACATTCAGTTGCTATACACCATTTAGCTTGTAGAGAGAATTTACTCAACACGAAATATACCTCAGACCAGTTCAGTTGAGAATACTATACATGTGATCATCAACAGTTAATAAACCATTTATGTGTCCCACAAGTGTCTTACTTCTCTATTTTTTCCCTAATTTACTTCTCTATACTTTTCCCCTTGCTCACCCTCCTTCCACACTGTCTCCAGTGTCCACAACTATTTTCAATGTTTTTATGACCACCAATCTTTCAGACTCTACCATAGAGGAAAGTTGCTATATAATGAGTAGAGACATACAATGTCTCTCTTTTATAGCCTGATTTGTTACACTCAGCAATAAATCTTTCATATTCATCCATTTTCTACCAAATGCCAGGGTATTTTTGTTTGTTTGTTTGTTTGTTTTGTTTTGTT